AACCTAGCACCGCCAATCACCTTACAGAGATCGGTGCGACAGGGAGACCCGTTAGCTCCATTCCTCTTTGTTATAATTATGGAAGCCTTGGCAGCAAATTTAAGGACCCATAAAGACATAAAAAAACTACAGCTTTTCTCGATCTCGAAAGAAGCAATCCCGGTCTACTCCATGTTCGCTGACGACCTGACCCTTATGGTGGATGCGACCCACGCATCGATGGAAGAAGTCCATCATATGATGGACCGCTTTTGTGCTTTGTCCGACATGAGAGTAAATTGGGGAAACAAAACTCTGGGATGGTGGATCCACCACCAGGGGGTAAGACCCCCGGAACACCCAAAGGTGAGGTGGCTACCCCCGGAAGCCTCGATCAGGGTCCTAGGCGTTTCCCTAACAGCCAACAGTAAACCAACAACAAACAACGAATGGATAGCTAGACCGCCCCTAGAAAAGTTGGCACTATGGAAAGAGAAACACACCCTGTTATTGGGGAGAACCTTGGTGATCAATAATGTGGTGCTTGCCACCCTCTGGTACAGGTCAACCATCTGGGGACTAGACAAGGATACCCTGCGGTCTCTCCAGCGGCAGATAGCCGCATTCTTATGGCGTGGGAACCATGAAAATTAGAATGTGATTAACAGAGTCGCATGGCAATCGATTACACAGCCCAAAGTGAAAGGGGGGTTGGGCATAATTGATCCTACTATACAGATCAAGGCACTGGCCATACAATGGCTTAAGCCCCTGCTCTTCTGTCCACAAATCCCTTGGAAAGAGCTAGCCTTAGAACAGATCTCAAGGCTAGCCCCGGAGGCACCATCCTATATCAATCCGATCACGTGGCTTGAAAATAGAGACTGGACAATCCCGCGGTGACAGTCTCAATGTGGAAATCTCCCATCTCACTCGCCAAAGCAAGAAGTGAGAAAGGACCTGCACAAAGACCCTTTCTGACCCACCCTCTTACAAATGTGGAGGAGTCTCCCCCTCCCAGACAAAACAGCACCCGAAAGATGGGAAGACGTGGTCCGTCAACCGCTATTTGGGAACAGGAGGATAACTAATTCAAAGGGCCAGATGTTACATTGTATGGATTCCCCTTGGAGAGGGAGGGTCAAGAGAGGGGTTTTGAGAATAAGGGATATCTGGGACATAGATAGGAGGGATTGGATCACGGGGGACTGCCTTAAGAAAAAACTGAGATACTGTCATAGACCAGAGCAAGCGATGGAAAACCTAATAGAATGTGTTCCCTTAAACTGGTGGAAAATTTTGAGGAAGGGGCCCTCGATACGAGAGTCCGACTGGGTAGCAATTTGGGGATGTCGGGGAGAGGTGGGCAACGTGATAAGTTGTGACCCGAGAGGACAGGTGGTGGTGGACACATTCATAATCGATAACGAGAATCTCCTTCAAAAGACTAGTCCAAACCAAATACAGGTCATCGAAAAGAACGATCTCTCGAGAATCAGGATGCTGCGGGAGAAGGAGGGATGGGTGGCATTCTCCCCCGAAACGCCGATATCCCATCTACCCCTAGACCCTCTTGAATGGGAATGGACAAGCCCAATCAGCAGAGGCAAACACAGCACCAAAACGCTGTATAACCTCTCAGTTAAGGCAACATACCGACTGCTGTGCCCCAAAATCAATCTTAAGGACCAGGTGGAAGCAAGATGGATGAAACATCTGAACATTAGCAGAAACTCGCTGAATGGTGTGAAATGGTTTAAGTTAACAAAAATGAGACCGGCGAACGTCGCCTCCCTGCAATGTCAGATGGAGCATCGCTGCCTACCAACCAATAATTGGTTGATAGACATGACCACTCTTGAACAGAGAGGACTCACGCTCCCCTGGTGTAAACTATGCTCCAGTGCATTCCCATCTAGAAAAAGACCTGAGACAATAGAACATATTCTTCTGCAATGCCCCGGTGCGGTCTGACTCTGGCGTTGGTGGCATAGGGTGTGGGAGCAGTTAGGAACAGCGGTACCCTTGTCCACGTGATCATAAGCTTTCTCAAAGTCAATGAAAATAATCGCTGCGTTTTGTTTAGATTGTCTTGTTAGCTTAATCACTTCATTGACTAAGAGAATGTTGTCCTGAATATTTATACTCTTAATGAACCCTGTCTGGTTTGGGTGTATGATGTCATCCATCACTTTGATCAGCCGGTTTGCCAATGCTTTGGCTAGCATCTTGTAAACCACTGTCAGAAGTGTAATCGGTCTGTAGTTCCTTATGTTGGTTTTTGCACCTTTTTTGTATAAGAGTGTTAGAACTCCCCGCCCTACGAATTCACCTGTTTCTCCGGTCTCCCACATTCTTTTATAGAAATTCATTAGATCCTGTGAGATGTCTTCCCACATTACCTCCCAGAATTCCTTCGGTAGACCGTCTATGCCCGAGGTTTTCTCCTCCTCCATCAGCATGAGTGTTGTCCACACTTCTTCTTTTGTGAGGCGCTGTTCTAACATCCCTTTTTGTTGGTCTGTTAGGGTTCTGGTGAGGGGCAGCAAGAACTCGTCAATGTCTTTCATTCTCTGTACGTCAGGTTGGGTCTCACACTCTGATTTAAAGAGCTCTTGAAAAAAATCCCTGGCTATTTTTGTGCAGGCCGCTGTGGACGTCAACCACGGCCCTTGACAAGCTTTCGGGTCCTCCAGGGCTTCTATCGTTGTTCGCCCTAGTTTGACCTTGGCCATTGCAAAAAATCTTGTGTCCATGGTTGCTTCCACGTTGTATTTGTGAAGTTTACCCCTGATCCTAATGCCTTGCCACCGGTGTTCCATCTGCGCCAGAATCCGGGTTTCCAGAGTCTGTATTTCGTCAGCTAGATCGGCTGACCTCGCAGGATCGTTCGTGTTTTCTTCCTGCTGTTGGCGTTGCTGAAGTTTGTGTTGGAGATGTGATTCTTCTGCGTTCCG